GCAACCACAACTACCATCCAAAAAGCAACCACAACTACACCACCAGCAACCACAACTACTGCACCACCAGCCACCACGACTACACCAATAGCCACCACAACTAAACCACCAGCCACAACTACTGCACCACCAGCCACCACAACTAGCATCCAACCAACAACCACAACTATACAACTAACCACCACAACTACTGCACCACCTGCCACAAAAACTACCACCCAAGAAGCAACCACAACTACACCAACAGCCACAACTACCAACCAACAAGCAACCACAAATACACCAGCCACCACAACTATAAAACCAGCCACCATAACTACTGCACCACCAGCCACAACTACCACCCAAGAAGCAACCACAACTATACCACCAGCCACAACAACTACTGCACCACCAGCCCCCACAACTACAACACCAGGCACCACAACTACTGCACCACCAGCTACTACTACACCACCAGCCACCACAACTACTGCACCAGCACCAACTACCGCACCACCAGCCCCCACATCTACTGCACCACCAGCCACAACAACAACACCCCAAGACGCAACCACAACTACACCACCAGCCACCACAAATACCGCACCACCAACCCCCACAACTACAACACCAGGCATCACAACTACTACACCACCAGCCACAACAACTACTGCACAACCAGCCACAACGACTGCACCACAAGCCGCAACAACTACCGCACTACCAACCACAACTACCACCCAACCAGAAACCACAACTACACCACCAGCCACCACAACTACTGCACCAACAGCCACCACAACTACACCAACAGCCACAACTACTGCACAACCTCCCACAGTAACCACCGCAACGCCGTCCACCACAACTGCCGAACCACCAGCCACCACAGCAACCGCACCACCAGCCACAACTACCGCACCAACAACCGCACTACCAGCAACCACAACTACACCAATAACCACCACAACAACCGCACCACTAGCCACAACAACTACCACCCAACAAGCAACCACAACTACACCACCAGTCACCACAACTACACAAATAGCCACCACAACTAAACCACCAGCGACAACACCTACTGCACAACCAGTCACAACTACCGCACCACCAGCCACAATTACCGAACCACCAGCCACCACAACTAGCATCCAACCAACAACCATAACTACACCACACGCCACCACAACTACTGCACCACCAGCCACAACAACTACCACCCAAGAAGCAACCACAACTACACCACCAGCCACCACAACTACTGCACCACCAGCCACCACGACTACACCAATAGCCACCACAACTAAACCTCCAGCCACAACAACTACTGCACCACCAGTCACAACAACTACGGCACCACCAGCCACAACAACTACCGCACCACCAGCCACCACAACAACCGCACCACCAGCTATAACTACCACACCACCAGCCACCACAACAACCGCACCACCAGCCACAACTACCGAACCACCAGCCACCACACCTACCACCCAACTAGCAACCACAACTACACCACTAGCCACTACAACAACCGCACCACTAGCCAAAACTACCGCACCACCAGCCACCACAACGACCACCAAACCAGCAACCACAACTACACAACTAGCCATAACAACTACCTCACCACCAGCCACCACAACTACTACCAAACCAGCAACCACAACCTCACCAGCCACCACAACTACTGCACCACCAGCCACAACAATTACAACCCAACAAATAACCACAACTACAGAACCAGCCACCACAACTACCGCACCACCAGCCCCCACAACTACAACACCAGGCACCACAATTACTGCACCACCAGCCACCACGACTACACCAATAGCCACCACAACTAAACCACCAGCCACAACTACTGCACCACCAGTCACAACAACTGCCGCACCCACATCTACTGCACCACCAGCCACAACTACCGCACCACCAGCCCCCACAACTACAACACCAGGCACCACAACTACTGCACCACCAGCCACCACAACTACTGCACAACCAGCCACAACTACTGCACCACCAGCCGCAACAACTACCGCACTACCAACCACAACTACCACCCAACCAGAAACCACAACTATACCACCAGCCACCACAACTACTGCACCAACAGCCACCACAACTACACCATCAGCCACAACTACTGCACAACCTCCCACAGTAACCACCGCAACGCCGTCCACCACAACTACCGCACCACCAGCCACCACAGCGACCGCACCACCAGCCACAACTACCGCACCAACAGCCGCAACAACTACCGCACTACCAGCAACCACAACTACACCAATAACCACCACAACAACCGCACCACCAGTAACAATAACCGCACCAAAAGCCACCACAACTACCACCAAACCAGCAACAACAACTACACCACTAGCCACAAAAACTACCGCACCACCAGCCACAACAACTACAATCCAAGAAGCAACCACAACTACACCACCAGCCACAACTATCAACAAACAAGCAACCACAACTACACCAGCCACCACAACTACAACACCAGCCATCATAACTACTGCACCGCCAGCCGCAACTACCACCCAAGAAGCAAAAACAACTACACCACCAGCTACCACTACCGCACCACCAGCCACAACAACTACTGCACTACCAACCACCACAACTACCACCCAACCAGAAACCACAACTACACCACTAGCCACAACTACCACCCAACCAACAACCACAACTACACCACCAACCACCAAAACTACCGCACCACCAGCCACAACTACCGCACTACCAACCACCACAACTACCACCCAACCAGAAACCACAACTACACCACTAGCCACAACAACTACCGCAACACCAGCCACCACAACTAGCATCCAACCAACAATCACAACTACACCACCAGCCACCACAACTATTGCACCACCAGCCACAACAACTACCATCCAAGAAGCTACCACAACTACACCCCCAGCCACAACTATCAACAAACAAGCAACCACAACTACACCAGCCACCACAACTACAACACCAGCCAACATAACTACTGCACCACCAGTTACTTCTACCGCACCACCAGCCACAACTACTGCACCACCAACCACCACAACTATCACCCAACCAGAAACCACAACTACACCACTAGCCACAACAACTACCGCACCACCAGCCACAACTACCACCCAACAAGCAACCACAACTACACCACCAGACACCACAACAAACGCACCACCAGGCACAACAACTACAACACTACCAACCACCACAACTACCACCCAAACAGAAACTACACCACAAACCACAACTACCGAACCACCAGCAACAACTACCACCCAACCAGCAACCACAACTACACCACCAGCCACCACAGCTACTGCACCACCAGCCACCACGACTACACCAATAGCCACCACAACTAAACCACCAGCCACAACTACGGCACCACCAGCCACAACTACCACACAACAAGGAACCACAACTACACCACCAGCCACAACAACTACCGCACCACTACCCACAAGAACTACCACCCAACAAGCAACCATAACTACACCACCAGCAACAACAACTACCACCCAACAAGCAACCACAACCAAACCACCAGCCACCACAACTACTGCACCACCAGCCACCACGACTACACCAATAGCCACCACAACTAAACCTCCAGCCACAACTACTGCACCACCAGTCACAACAACTACGGCGCCAACAGCCACAACAACTACCGCACCACCAGCCACCACAACAACCGCACCACCAGCTACAACTACCACACCACCAGCCACCACAACAATCGCACCACCAGCCAAAACTACCGAACCACCAGCCACCACAACTACCACTCAACTAGCAACCACAACTACACCACTAGCCACTACAACAACCGCACCACCAGCCACCACAACGACCACCAAACCAGCAACCACAACTACACCACTAGCCACAACAACTACCGCACCACCAGCCACCACAACTACTAGCAAACCAGCAACCACAACTACACCAGGCACCACAACTACTGCATCATCAGCTACCACTACTGCACCACCAGGCACCACTACTGCACCACCAGCCACCACAACTACCACCCAACAAGCAACCACAACTACACAACCAGCTACCACAACTACTGCACCACCAGCCACCACAACTACTGCACCACCAGCCACCACGACTACACCAATAGCCACCACAACTAAACCACCAGCCACAACTACTGCACCAACAGTCACAACAACTACCACCCAAGAAGCAACCACAACTACACCACCAGCCACAACTACCAACCAACAAGCAATCACAACTACATCAGCCTCCACAACTACAACACTAGCCACCATAACTACTGCACCACCAGCCACGACTACCACCCAAGAAGCAACTACAACTACACCACCAGCCACAACAACTACAACACCAGGCACCACAACTACTGCACCACCAGCTACCACTACTACACCACCAGCCACCACAACTACTGCACCACCAGCCACAACAACTACCGCACAACCAGCCACAACAACTACCGCACTACCAACCACCACATCTACCACCCAACCAGAAACCACAACTACACCACTAGCCACAACTACACCACCAGCCACCACAACTACTGCACCACCAGCTACCACTACCGCACCACCAGCCACAACAACTACTGCACTACCAACCACCACAACTACCACCCAACCAGAAACCACAACTACACCACCAGCCACAACTACCACCCAACAAGCAACCACAACTACACCACCAGCCACCACAACTAACGCACCACCAGCCACAACAATTACAGCACTACCAACCACCACAACTACCACCCAAACAGAAAGCACAACTACACCACAAGCCACAACTACCGAACCACCAGCCACAACTACCACCCAACCAGCAACCACAACTACACCACCAGCCACCACAGCTACTGCACCACCAGCCACCACGACTACACCAATAGCCACCACAACTACACCACCAGCCACAACTACTACGGCACCAGCCACAACAACTACCGCACCACTAGCCCCCACAACTACAACACCAGGCACCACAACTACTGCATCATCAGCTACCACTACGGCACCACCAGGCACCACTACTGCACCACCAGCCACCACAACTACCACCCAACAAGCAACCACAACTACACAACCAGCCACCACAACAACTGCACCACCAGCCACCACAACTACTGCACCACCAGGCACAACTACAACACCAGCCACCACAACTACTGCACCACCAGTTACCACTACCGCACCACCAGCCACAACAACTACTGCACTACCAACCACCACAACTACCACCCAACCAGAAACCACAACTACACCACTAGCCACAACAACTACCGCACCACCAGCCACAACTACCACCCAACAAGCAACCACAACTACACCACCAGCCACCACAACTAACGCACCACCAGGCACAACAACTACAGCACTACCAACCACCACAACTACCACCCAAACAGAAACCACAACTACACCACAAGCCACAACTACCGAACCACCAGCAACAACTACCACCCAACCAGCAACCACAACTACACCACCAGCCACCACAGCTACTGCACCACCAGCCACCACGACTACACCAATAGCCACCGCAACTAAACCACCAACTACTACGCCACCAGCCACAACAACTACCGCACCACCAGCCACAACTACCACACAACAAGGAACCACGACTACACCACCAGCCACAACAACTACCGCACCGCTACCCACAAGAACTACCACCCAACCATAACTACACCACCAGCCACAACAACTACCACCCAACAAGCAACCACAACCAAACCACCAGCCACCACAATTACTGCACCACCAGCCACCACGACTACACCAATAGCCACCACTACTAAACCTCCAGCCACAACTACTGCACCACCAGCCACCACAACAACCGCACCACCAGCTACAACTACCACACCACCAGCCACCACAACAACCGCACCACCAGCCACAACTACCGAACCACCAGCCACCACAACTACCACTCAACTAGCAACCACAACTACACCACTAGCCACTACAACAACCGCACCACCAGCCACAACTACCGCACCACCAGCCACCACAACGACCACCAAACCAGCAACCACAACTACACCACTAGCCACAACAACTACTACCAAACCAGCAACCACAACTACACCAGGCACCACAACTACTGCATCATCAGCTACCACTACTGCACCACCAGGCACCACTACTGCACCACCAGCCACCACAACTACCACCCAACAAGCAACCACAACTACACAACCAGCTACCACAACTACTGCACCACCAGCCACCACAACTACTGCACCACCAGCCACCACGACTACACCAATAGCCACCACAACTAAACCCCCAGCCACAACTACTGCACCAACAGTCACAACTACCACCCAAGAAGCAACCATAACTACACCACCAGCCACAACTACCAACCAACAAGCAATCACAACTACATCAGCCTCCACAACTACAACACCAGCCACCATAACTACTGCACCACCAGCCACAACTACCACCCAAGAAGCAACCACAACTACACCACCAGCCACAACAACTACAACACCAGGCACCACAACTACTGCACCACCAGCTACCACTACTACACCACCAGCCACCACAACTACTGCACCACCAGCCACAACAACTACCGCACAACCAGCCACAACAACTACCGCACTACCAACCACCACAACTACCACCCAAACAGAAAGCACAACTACACCACAAGCCACAACTACCGAACCACCAGCCACAACTACCACCCAACCAGCAACCACAACTACACCACCAGCCACCACAGCTACTACACCACCAGCCACAACTACCACCCAACAAGCAACCACAACTACACCACCAGCCACTACAACTAACGCACCACCAGCCACAACAACTACAGCACTACCAACCACCACAACTACCACCCAAGCAGAAAGCACAACTACACCACAAGCCACAACTACCGAACCACCAGCCACAACTACCACCCAACCAGCAACCACAACTACACCACCAGCCACCACAGCTACTGCACCACCAGCCACCACGACTACACCAATAGCCACCACAACTACACCACCAGCCACAACTACTACGCCACCAGCCACAACAACTACCGCACCACCAGCCACCACAACTACTACCAAACCAGCAACCACAACTACACCAGGCACCACAACTACTGCATCATCAGCTACCACTACTGCACCACCAGCCACCACAACTACCACTCAACTAGCAACCACAACTACACCACTAGCCACTACAACAACCGCACCACCAGCCACAACTACCGCACCACCAGCCACCACAACGACCACCAAACCAGCAACCACAACTACACCACCAGCCACCACAGCTACTGCACCACCAGCCACCACTACACCAATAGCCACCACAACTACACCACCAGCCACAACTACTACGCTACCAGCCACAACAACTACCGCACCACTAGCCCCCACAACTACAACACCAGGCACCACAACTACTGCATCATCAGCTACCACTACGGCACCACCAGGCACCACTACTGCACCACCAGCCACCACAACTACCACCCAACAAGCAACCACAACTACACAACCAGCCACCACAACAACTGCACCACCAGCCACCACAACTACTGCACCACCAGCCACCACGACTACACCAATAGCCACCACAACTAAACCCCCAGCCACAACTACTGCACCAACAGTCACAACAACTACCACCCAAGAAGCAACCACAACTACACCACCAGCCACAACTACCAACCAACAAGCAATCACAACTACACCAGCCACCACAACTACAACACCAGCCACCATAACTACTGCACCACCAGCCACAACAACTACAACACAAGGCACCACAACTACTGCACCACCAGCTACCACTACTACACCACCAGCCACAACTACCGCACAACCAGCCACAACAACTACCACACTACCAACCACCACAACTACCACCCAACCAGAAACCACAACTACACCACTAGCCACAGCAACTACCGCACCACCAGCCACAATTACCACCCAACAAGCAACCACAAATACACCACCAGCCACCACAACTAACGCACCACCAGCCACAACAACTACCACACTACCAACCACCACAACTACCACCCAAACAAAAACCACAACTACACCACAAGCCACAACAACTACCGAACCACCAACCACCACAACTACACTAATAGCCACCACAACTAAACCACCAGCCACAACAACTACTGCGCCACCAGTCACAACTACCGCACCACCAGTCACAACTACCGCACCACCAGCCACCACAACTAGCATCCAACCAACAACCACAACTACACCACCAGCCACCACAACTACTGCACCACCAGCCACAACTACCACCCAAAAAGCAACCACAACTACACCACCAGCCACAACTACCGCACCACTAGCCCCCACAACTACAACACCAGGGGCCACAACTACTGCACCACCAGCCACAACTCCCACACTACCAACCACCACAACTACCACCCAACCAGAAACCACTACACCACCAGCCACAACAACTTCTGTACAACCTTCCACAGTAACCACCGCAACACCGTCCACCACAACTACCGCACCACCAGCCACCACAACAACCGCACCACCAGCCACAACTACCGCACCACCAGCCACCAAAACAACTGCACCACCAGCCACAACTACCGCACCACCAGCCATCACAACTACTACCCAATCAGCAACCACAACAACACTAGCCACCACATCTGCTACACCACCAGCCACAACTACCGCACCACCAGCCACCACAACAACTGCACCATCAGCCACAACTACCACACCACCAGACACCACAACTACCACCAAACCAGCAACCACAACTACACCACTAGCCACAACAACTGCCGCACCACCAGCCACCACTACTACTACCAAACCAGCAACCACAACTACACCACTGGCCACCACAATTACTACACCAACCACAACAACTACCACCCAAAAAGGAACCACAACTACACCACCAGCCACCACAACTACTGCACCACCAGCCACCACGACTACACCAATAGCCACCACAACTAAACCACCAGACACCACAACTACTGCACCACCAGTCACAACAAATACCGCACCACCAGCCACTACTACCGCACCACCAGCCACCACAAGTAGCATCCAACCAACAACCACAACTACACCACCAGCCACCACAACTACTGCACCACCAGCCACAACTACCGCCGAAGAAGCAACCACAAACACACCACTAGCCCCAACTACCACCGAAGAAGCAACCACAACTAAACCACCAGCCACAACTACCAACCAACAAGCAAACACAACTACACCACCAGCCACCATAACTACTACAACAGCAGCCACAACTACCACCCAAGAAGCAACCACAACTACACCACCAGCCACAACTACCGCAGCACCAGCCCCCACAACTACAACACCAGGCACCACAACTACTGCGCCACCAGCTACCACTACTACACCACCAACCACCACAACTACTGCACCAACAGCCAACACAACTACACCACCAGCCACAATATCTACTGCACAACCTCCCACAGTAACAACCGTAACACCGTCCACCACAACTACCGCACCACTAGCCACCAAAACAACCGCACCACCAGCCACAACTACCGCACCACCAGCCACCACAATAACCGCACCACCAGCCACAACTACCGCACCACCAGCCACCACAACTACCACCAAACCAGTAACCACAACTACACCACTACCCACAACAACTACCGCACCACCAGCCACCACAACTACCACCCAACCAGCAACCACAACTACACCACCAGCCACCACAACTACTGCACCACCAGCCACAATTACCACCCAACAAGCAACCACAACTACACCACCAGCCACCACGACTACACCAATAGCCACCACAACTAAACAACTAGCCACAACAACTACTGCACCACCAGTCACAACAACTACCGCACCACCAGCCACAACTAGCATCCAACCAACAACCAAAACTACACCACCAGCCACCACAACTACTGCACCACCAGCCACAACAACTACCACCCAAGAAGCAACCAAAACTACACCACCAGCCACAACAACTACCAACCAACAAGCAACCACAACTACACCACCTGCCACCACAACTATCGCACCACCAGCCCCCTCAACTACAACACCAGGCACCACAACTACTGCACTACAAGCTACCACTACTACACCACCAGCCACCACAACTACTGCACCACCAGCCACAACAAGTACCGCTCCACCAGCCACCACCCAACCAGCAACCACAACTATACCATCAACCACATCTACTGCACCACCAGCCACCACAACTACCACCCAAACAGCAACCACAAATACACCACTAGCCACCACAACTACTGTACCACAAGCCACCACAATTACTGTACCACAAGCCACAAAAAATACCACCCAACAAGCAACCACAACTGCACCACCAGATACAACTACTGCACTACGAGCCACCGCAACTACACCACTAGTCACCACAACTACTGCACAACCTGCCGCAGTAACCAACGCACCACCATCCACCACAAGTACACCAGCCACCACAACTGCACCACCAACCACAACAACCACTGCACCACCAGCCACAACAACCACCGAACCAGTCACCACAAGTACACCACCAGCCACCAAAATTTCTGCACCACTAGGCACAACTACTGCAACAGCAGCCACCACAATTACACCACCAGTTACAACAACTACTGCACAACCTGCCACAGTAACCACCGCACCACCATCCACCACAAGTACTCCAGCCACCACAACTACCGCACTACCAGCCACAAGAACTTTCGCACCACCAGCAACAACTACACCACCAGCCACCACAACTACCACCAAAACAGCAAACACTACACCACTACCCACCACAACTACTGCACCACCAGCCACAACAACAAACACCCAACAAGCAACCATAACTACACCGCCGGCCACCACGACTACTGCACCACCAGCCACAACTACTGCACCACTAGCCACCACAACTACACCACCAGCCACCACAACTACCACACAACCAGCAACCACAACTACAACACCACCAGCCACAACTACCGCACCACCAACAACCACAACTACACCACCAGCCACCACAACTACACCACAAGCCACAACATCTACCGCACCACTAGCCACCACAGCTACCACCCAACCAGCAACTACAACTACACCACCATCCATCACAACTATTGCACCACCAGCCACAACAACTACCACCCAACATGCAATCACAACTACACCAGCAACCACCATTACTACTGCACTACCAGACACCACGACTACAACAATAGCCACCACAACTGCACCACCGGCCACAACTACTGCACCGCCAGCCATAACAACTACCGTACCACCAGCCACCACAACTACCACCCAACCAGCAACCACAACTACACCACCATCCACCACAACTACTTTACCACCAGCCACATCTACCACCCAACAAGCAACCACAACTACACCCCCAGCCACCACAACTACTGCAACACCAGCTACCACAACTACACCACCAGCCACAACAACTACTGCACCATCAGCCACCACAACTACCGCCCAACCACAAAACACAACTCTAAAACTAGCCACCACAACTACTACCCCACCAGCTACAACTACCACACAAGCAACCACAACTACACCACCAGCCACCACAACTACACCACCAGCCACCACTACTACACCAGCAGCTCCAGCTACAACTACTGCACCACCAGCCACAACTACCACACCACAAGCCATCACATCTACCACCCAACCAGCAACCACAACTACACCACTAGCCACCACAACTACTGCACCACCAGCCACAACTACTGAACCACCAGCCACCACAATTACACCACCAGCCACCACAACTACACCACCAGCCAACACAACCACTGCACCACCAGTTACAACTACAACCCAACAAGCAATCACAACTACACCGCCAGCCACAACAACTACTGCACAACCTGCCACAGTAACTACCGCACCACCAGCCACAACTACCACCCAAGAAGCAACCAAAACTACACCACCAGCCATAACTACCAACCAACAAGCAACCACAACTACACCACCTGCCACCACAACTACCGCACCACCAGCCCCCACAACTACACCACCAGCCACAACTACTGCACCACCAGCCACAACAAGTACCACTCCACCAGCCACCACCCAACCAGCAACCACAATTATACCATCAACCACATCTACTGCACCACCAGCCACCACAACTATCACCCAAACAGCAACCACAAATACACCACTAGCCACCACAACTACTGTACCACAAGCCACCACAACTACTGTACCACAAGCCACAAAAACTACCACCCAACAAACAACCACCACTGCACCACCAGATACAACTACTGCACTACGAGCCACCACAACTACACCACTAGTCACCACAACTACTGCACAACCTGCCGCAGTAACCACCGCACCACCATCCACCACAAGTACACCAGCCACCACAACTGCACCACCAACCACAACAACCACTGCACCACCAGCCACAACAACCACCGAACCAGTCACCACAAGTACACCACCAGCCACCAAAATTTCTGCACCACTAGGCACAACTACTGCAACAGCAGCCACCACAATTACACCACCAGTTACAACAACTGCACAACCTGCCACAGTAACCACCGCACCACCATCCACCACAACTACCGCACTACCAGCCACAACTTCCGCACCACCAGCAACAACTACACCACCAGCCACCACAACTACCACCAAAACAGCAAACACAACTACACCACTACCCACCACAACTACTGCACCACCAGCCACAACTAACACCCAACAAGCAACCATAACTACACCGCCGGCCACCACGACTACTGCACCACCAGCCACAACTACTGCACCACCAGCCACCACAACTACACCAACAGCCACCACAACTACCACACAACCAGCAACCACAACTGCAACACCACCAGCCACAACTACCGCACCACCAACAACCACAACTACACCACCAGCCACCACAAGTATACCACCAGCCACAACATCTACCGCACCACCAGCCACCACAGCTACCACCCAACCAGCAACTACCACTACACCACCATCCATCACAACTATTGCACCACCAGCCACAACTACCACACAACAAGCAACCACAACTACACCACCAGCCACCACAACTACACCAGCAGCTCCAGCTACAACTACTGCACCACCAGCTCCAGCTACAATTACTGCACCACCAGCCACAACTACCGCACCACAAGCCATCACATCTACCACCCAACCAGCAACCACAACTACACCACTAGCCACCACAACTACTGCACCACCAGCCACAACTACTGAACCACCAGCCACCACAATTACACCACCAGCCACCACAACTACACCACCAGTCAACACAACCACTGTACCACCAGTTACAACTACAACCCAACAAGCCACCACAACTACACCGCCAGCCACAACAACTACCGCACCACCAGCCACAACTACACCATCAGCCACCACAACTACTGCACCAACAGCCACAACAACTACCGCACCACCAGCCACCATAACTACCACCCAACAAGGAACCAGAACTACACCAGTCACCACAACTACTGCACCACCAGCCACAACTACCGCACTACCAGTCATCACAACTACACCAGCCACAGCAACTACACCACCAACTATAACAACTACTGCACCAACAGCCACCACAACTACCGCACCACCTACTACCACAACTACCACCCAAACAGCAACCACAAATACACCATCAGCCACCACAACTACATCACCTCCAGCCACAACTACCGCACAACCAGCCACCACAACTACACCACCAGCTACTACAACTAAACTACCAGCCACAACAACTACTGGAACACCAGCCATAACTACTACTGCACCACCAGTCACAAAAACTACCACCCAAAAAGCAACAACTACAACACTAGCCACCACAACTACTGCGCCAACAGCCACTACAACTACCACCCAACCAGAAACTAAAACTACGCCACCAGCCACAACTACTGCACAACCTGTCACAGTAACCACCGCACCACCAGCCACCACAACTACCGCACCACCAGCCGCCACAACTAAACCACCAGCCACAACTACTGCACGACCAGCCACAACTACTGCACCACCAGCTACCACAACTACACCACCAGTCACAACAACTGCCGCACCACCATCCACCACAACTACAACACGAGAAACCACAACCACACTAGCCATCACATCTACTGCACCACCAGCCACAACTACCGCCCAACCAGTAACCACAGCTACACCACCAGTCACCACAACTATACCACCAACCACAACTACCGCACCACCAGCCACAACTATCACCCAACCAGTAACCACAACTACACCACCAGCCACCACAACTACACCACCAGATACCACAACTACACCACTATCTACCACAACTACCGCACCACCAGCCATCACAACTACCACCCAACCAGCAACCACAACTACACTAGCCACCACTTCTGCACTACCAGCCTCAACTACCAACCAATCAGTACCCACTACACCACCAGCCACCGCAACTATACCACCAACCACAACTACTGCACCACCAGCCAAAACTACCGCACCAACAGCAACCACAACTACATCACCAGCCACAACAACTACCGCACCACCAGCCCTCACAACTACCAGCCAGCAAGCAACCATAACTACACCACCAGCCACCACAACTACAACACAAGCAACCACAACTACACCACTAGCCACCACAACTACTGCACCACCAGCCACAAGAACTACCACCCAACCAGTAACCACAGTTACAACACCAGCCACCACAACTACACCACCGGCCACAACTACTGCACCTGCCACAACAACTACCGCACCACCAGCTACAACAACTACCACCCAACCAGCAACCATAACTACACCACCGGCCACAACTACTGCACCACCAGCCACCACAACTACCGCACCACTAGCCACAACTACTGCACCACCAATCACAACTACACCACCAGCCACATCTACTACACCACCAGCCACCACAACCACTGCACCACCAGCCACAACTACCGCACCACCAGCCACTACAACAACCACCCAACCAGCAACCACAACTCCACCGCCAGCCACCATAATTACTGCACCACTAGCCACAACTACAAACCAACAAGCAACCACAACTACACCACCAGCAACCACAACTACACCACTAGCCACCACATTTACTGCACTACCAGTCACAACAACTGCACCACCAGCTACCACATCTACACCACCAGCCTCAACAACTGCTGCACCACCCGCTACCACAACTACACCACCAGCCACCACAACTACACCACCAGACATAAGAACTACTGCACCACCAGCCACAACTACCGCACCACAAGTCATCACAACTACCACCCAACCAGCAACCACAACTACACCACTAGCCACCACAACTACCGCACCACCAGCCACAACTACCACCCAACAAACAACCATAACTATACCACCAGCCACCACAACTACACCACTAGCCGCCACAACTACAACACCAGCAACCACAACTACACTACCAGCCACCACAACTACTGCACAACCTCCCATAACTACCGCACCACCAGTCACCACAACATCACCAGCCACAACTGCCGCACCACCAGCCACCACAACTACGCCACTAGCCACCACATCTACTGCACCACCAGCCACAACTACCACCCAACCAGTAACCACACCTACACTACCAGCCATAACAACTACCGCACCACCAGCCACCACAACTACCAACCAACCAGTAACCACAACTACAACACCAACCACCACAACTACACCATCGATCACAACTACTGCACAACCTGCCACATCTATCGCACCCCCAGCCACCAAAACTACCACCCAACCAGCAACCACAACTACACCACCGGCTACAATAACTACTGCACCACCAGCCACAACTACCGCACCTCCAGCCGCCACAACTACTTCACCACCTACCACCACAACTACACAACCAGCCACCAGAACCACTGCACCTCCAGCCACAATTACCGCACCACCAGCCACCACAAATACACCAATAACCATCATAAATACCCCACCACGAGCTACCACAACTACCACCCAACCAGCAACCACAACTGTGCCATCAGCCACAACTACACCTACAGCCACCACAACTACACCTACAGCCACCACAACTACACCGCCAGCCACAGCAACTACTGCACAACCTGCCACAATTACCGCACCACAAGCCAACACAACTACCACCCAATCAGCAACCACAACTACACCACTAGCTACCACAACTACTGCACCACCTACCACCAAAACTACACAACCAGCCACCACAACCACTGCACCACCAGCCACAATTACCGCACCACCAGCAACCACAACTACACCACCAGCCACAACTACTGCACCACCAGCCACAAGTACACCACCAGCCACAACAACTACTTCATCACTACCTACCACAACTACACCAACAGCCACCAAAACTACACCATCAGCCACAACTACTGCACCACCAACCACTACAACTATAATACCAGCCACCACAACCACTGTACCACCAGCCACAACTGCCACCCAACCAGCAACCACAACTCCACCACGAGCAACCACAACTACACCAGCCACAACTACCCCACCACCAGCCACAACTACCGCATTACCAGCCACAACTACAACACCACCAGCTACCACAACTACCGCACCACCAGCCATCACAACTACACCGCCAGCCACCACAATTACGGCACCGCCAACCACAACAACTACCACCCAACCAGCAACCACACTTACACCACCAGCGACCACAAATACTACACCACCAGCCATCAAAACTACACTACCAGCCACCACAACTCCCGCACCACCAGCCACCAAAAATACGGCATCTCCAATCACCACAACTATCACCCGACCAACAACCATAAATACGCCACCAGCCACAACTACACCCCAAACCACCACAACTACTGCATCACCAACCACAACAATTACAGCACCACAAGCCACCACAGCTGCACCACTAACCACAACAACTACAGTACATCCAGCCACCACAATTACCACCCAACCAGCATCCACAACTACACGAGCCACAACAACTACCGCGCCACCAGCCGCCACAACTAAACCAACAGCCACCACAACTACCGCACCACCTGCCACCACAACTACCACCCAACTAGCAATCACAACTACACTTTCCACCACAACTGCATCACCAGCAACCACAGCTACCTCTCCACCAGCCACCACAACTGCTGCACCACCCGCCATCACTACACCTCTAGCCACCACAACTACCACACTACCAGCCACCACAACTGCACTGCCAGCCACCACAATTACCACCGGACTAGCAATCACATCTACACCATCCACCACAACTACTGCATCACCAGCAATCACAACTACCTCTCCACCAGCTGCAACAACTACCGCCCAACCAGCAATCACAACTACAACTACTGTACCACCATCAGCCACAACTATAGCTCCAGCAGTCACCATAACTACTACAGCACCTGCCACCACAATTACCACCCAACCAACAATCACAACTACAGGACCAGCCACAACTATCACATCATCAGCCACTACAGCCGCATCACCAGCCACCATAACTTCACCACCAGCCAACACAACTACCGCACAACCAGCAACCACAACTACACCAACACCTACCGCCAGAACTGCTTTACCACAATCCACAACTACCGCACCACCAGCCACCACAACTTCAGCCCAACCAGCAACCACAATTACACCACCAAACACCACAACAGTTACACCACCAGCCACCACAACGACAGCACCATCAGTCACCACATCTACCGCACCACCAATTTCCACTACTGCTATACCACCAACCACCACAACTACCGCAGAACCAGACACCACAACTACTGCTCAACCAGCTACCGTAACTACATTACCACCAGTCACCACAACTACCTCACCACCAGCAACCGCACCACCAGCCACCACAACAACCGTACCACCAGCCACCACAACAACCGTACCACCAGCCACCACAACAACCGTACCACCAGCCACCACAACTACTGTACTACCAGACACCACAACTACCGCACCAACAGCCACCACAACTAACCCGCCACCAGCCATAACAAAGACACTACCAGCCACCACAATTGCACCACCAGCCACTACAACCACATCACTAGTCACCACAACCACTGTATTACCAGACACCACAACTATCGCGCCATCAACCACCAGAACGTACGCACCACTAGACACCACAACAAATGCACCGGCAGCCACCACATCTACCGCAACACTAGCCACCGCAACTACAGCACGACCAGCCACCACAATTACCACAACAGCTACCACAACTACTGCAACATCATCCACCACAACAACCGCACCACGAGCCACCACAACTACTTTACCACCAGCCGCCACAATAACTGCAACACCAGCCACCACAACTGTATTACCACCCACCACGACTACCCCACCACCAGCCACCACAACTATACCACCAGTCACAACTACCGCACAATCAGCCACCCCAACAACTGCACCACTAGTGACCACAACTGAACCACCAGCCACGACTACTGTACTACCAAATACCACAACTACTGTGCCACCAGCAACCACATCTGCAACACCAGTCACCACAACATCTGCAACATCAGCCACCACATCTGCAACACCAGCCACCACAACTATTGCACCACTAGTCACTACAACTACCGCACAACCAGCCACCACAACAACTGTCCTATCAGATACCACAGTCACCAGAACTACTGTACCGCCAGTCACTACAACAACCGCACAACCAGCCACCAAATCTTCTGCACCACCACCAGTCACCACAACTGTGTCACCAGCCACCAGAACTACCGCACCACCAGTCACTACAACTACCGCACAACCAGCCACCACAACAACTGTCCTATCAGATACCACAGTCACCAGAACTACTGTACCGCCAGTCACTACAACAACCGCACAACCAGCCACCAAATCTTCTGCACCACCACCAGTCACCACAACTGTGTCACCAGCCACCAGAACTACTGCACCACCAGTCACTACAACAACCGCACCACCAGCCACCACAACAAATGGACCACCAGGCACCAAAACCACTATAGAATCAGCTACTACAGCTACTGTAATTTACACCGATCCACCATTGTTGGACATATGCTTCAATGCCACTAACCCAGCAGGTTAGTGACTGGAGAATTGCTTTATTGAAATAAGGTATTATATATATACAGATGTATATATATTCATTTGTATGTATATATATGTATATATATTCATATGTATGTATATATTTGTATATATATTCATATGCATGTGTATATATGTATATATTTGTATATATTTACAGTATATGTATTTATTTATACGTATGTCATATTGAAACTTATTCAGATACAAAATAAAATGTACTTTACTAAATTACTGCTGCCAGAATTTATTCTTCTGAAAATAGAATGGTCATAAAATAGTTTAAACCAATTTCTTTTATTTTATAACCTAATAATAATAAACAGGTGGCATATTACAATGAGTTTAATTTTAGTAATAATGAATATCAGAAATTTACATGAATCTTCTTTTACTAAAGCAATTAAAGTCTATGGTTAGTTTTCACTTTACACTTTTCCTTTACTTACTAATCATAATTCAATAATAATCACAAAGATAAATGTAATAGAATTAAAAGTGATTGACGAATCCTTTAACTCTTTCACAACTTGCCTTTCCTATAATTTATTTCGATCTATTTTTCCTTTTCCAATCCCGCTCTGAGAAGCCACTTTTCAGTGTACCAGTCGCCGCTTGGCGTTTCTCCTACTTCTTTGATATATCTTCACGGTAAGGCATCCCTTAGGGCTACAGAGCAGCTTACTCCCACAATGGTATCATGTGTGGCCAGGCGATGAACCTGGGGCTCGTGTGGACTAGTGGCTTCAACAGACATGGCATATGCGTCTCGGGCACAGGCAAGACGACTAATAAATGGAGATGGAACCTCAGGTTCAGGAGCTGGTGCTGAAGAGTGCTGAATTCCATGCCATGAATTCCATATGGGTTCTTTAAGCCTGCTCGAGCTACTGACTGACTTCATTCAGTATTCAGGACTGCTGCGCCAGCTTGTTCTGCAGACTTTGCAGACCGTTAGACTGGCATCTTCAGCTGGAGTAGTCGGCATCGCCCTTTCACCAACCTCATGCTGCTACAGAGTTGCTCCACTCCCTATAGTCTCTGAATTCTGAGCAGAGGTCGTTGATCTTGTTCTTCAAAGAGGGTGATTTCACACGCTTTTCCTCTATGGCAAAAGGTGCGCAGATTGAAAGTAAGGGAGATACAGAGAAGAGAGGAATTCGACCCGATCACGTTTACACTGCAAGGACTCATTACTGTGATCTATCAAGTAGTTCATGTATTGCTACGTGCTTGTGTGAACAACCATTTTGTAATTACCAGCGTCTACTTTTCCGATACCATGTATGCAATGCATTCTTGTAGTTTTATTATACATATTTTACGCGTTTTGGTAATTATTTGCGCTATTCTATACAATAAGATTATGTGCATGCGCGTTTTACCACCGGGTGATTTGACAGGCCGTGCGTCGCCATTCGTAACCACAACGGTGAAAAATGTTTCATTTTAAATGTTGCATCGATTCCAGGTCATTTTTAAAGCCACATATTGTGTATACAGAACAAATAGACATTAGTATCTATCACAGCCTGATATTTGACCCGATCAAGTGCCCCAAATCCGACCATACACGGAAGCTGGCTAAGGAATATATAGACAAATATAAAGCCATGATAGTCCAGCCGAATATAATACCACGGGAGTTTTTCGGAAAGTGGCGCGTCGGTCCGTAAAGTTTCATTGTGCTTGTTTTACATATTTCTATTCTCTACTCTTATTTCAGACTGTTTTAACACATCATTTCCCTGAGCTATTTCATGCTCTCCCCTGCTATCGGGACATCAAGATTGTCGGCTGGAGAATGCGACGGAAATATTCATCAGATTCGTTCTCATCACACGAGAACAAATCTGATGCTATAAATATTGTCAGGGAAGACCCGACTTTCGTAGTCGGATAATTAACCCTAAAAGGGGTCGTAATATGAAAATTACAATCACCTTTACTTGACTGATCATTATTATATAAATTAAGTTCGTCCAGCTCCTAATTGATAAAAATAAGACAATTGTCAATACACACGTAACTTTTGTCTCCCTGAAGTAGCTGGCGGGCTCCATTGTTCACTGAAGCCGGCTGTATTCACGGGTCAGAATAATAAAGATAATAATTAGAATGATAATAAGTAAATAAATATTTCCTAACAAATGCAGCTGAATTGCCTCCTTTAACTAGTTATGTTGCTGTATTCACGGGTCAGAATAATAAAGATAATAATTAGAATGATAATAAGTAAATAAATATTTCCTAACAAATGCAGCTGAATTGCCTCCTTTAACTAGTTATGTTGCTGTATTCACGGGTCAGAATAATAAAGATAATAATTAGAATGATAATAAGTAAATAAATATTTCCTAACAAATGCAGCTGAATTGCCTCCTTTAACTAGTTATGTTGCTGTATTCACGGGTCAGAATAATAAAGATAATAAATAGAATGATAATAAGTAAATAAATATTTCCTAACAAATGCAGCTGAATTGCCTCCTTTAACTAGTTATGTTGCTGTATTCACGGGTCAGAATAATAAAGATAATAATTAGAATGATAATAAGTAAATAAATATTTCCTAACAAATGCAGCTGAATTGCCTCCTTTAACTAGTTATGTTGCTGTATTCACGGGTCAGAATAATAAAGATAATAATTAGAATGATAATAAGTAAATAAATATTTCCTAACAAATGCAGCTGAATTGTCCTCCTTTAACTAGTTATGCTGCTGTATTCACGGGTCAGAATAATAAAGATAATAATTAGAATGATAATAAGTAAATAAATATTTCCTAACAAATGCAGCTGAATTGCCTCCTTTAACTAGTTATGTTACTGTATTCACGGGTCAAAATAATAATAATAAATAGAATGATAATAAGTAAATAAATATTTCCTAACAAATGCAGCTGAATTGCCTCCTTTAACTAGTTATGTTGCTGTATTCACGGGTCAGAATAATAAAGATAATAATTAGAATGATAATAAGTAAATAAATATTTCCTAACAAATGCAGCTGAATTGCCTCCTTTAACTAGTTATGTTGCTGTATTCACGGGTCAGAATAATAAAGATAATAAATAGAATGATAATAAGTAAATAAATATTTCCTAACAAATGCAGCTGAATTGCCTCCTTTAACTAGTTATGTTGCTGTATTCACGGGTCAGAATAATAAAGATAATAATTAGAATGATAATAAGTAAATAAATATTTCCTAACAAATGCAGCTGAATTGCCTCCTTTAACTAGTTATGTTGCTGTATTCACGGGTCAGAATAATAAAGATAATAATTAGAATGATAATAAGTAAATAAATATTTCCTAACAAATGCAGCTGAATTGCCTCCTTTAACTAGTTATGTTGCTGTATTCACGGGTCAGAATAATAAAGATAATAATTAGAATGATAATAAGTAAATAAATATTTCCTAACAAATGCAGCTGAATTGCCTCCTTTAACTAGTTATGTTGCTGTATTCACGGGTCAGAATAATAAAGATAATAATTAGAATGATAATAAGTAAATAAATATTTCCTAACAAATGCAGCTGAATTGCCTCCTTTAACTAGTTATGTTGCTGTATTCACGGGTCAGAATAATAAAGATAATAATTAGAATGATAATAAGTAAATAAATATTTCCTAACAAATGCAGCTGAATTGCCTCCTTTAACTAGTTATGTTGCTGTATTCACGGGTCAGAATAATAAAGATAATAATTAGAATGATAATAAGTAAATAAATATTTCCTAACAAATGCAGCTGAATTGCCTCCTTTAACTAGTTATGTTGCTGTATTCACGGGTCAGAATAATAAAGATAATAATTAGAATGATAATAAGTAAATAAATATTTCCTAACAAATGCAGCTGAATTGCCTCCTTTAACTAGTTATGTTGCTGTATTCACGGGTCAGAATAATAAAGATAATAATTAGAATGATAATAAGTAAATAAATATTTCCTAACAAATGCAGCTGAATTGCCTCCTTTAACTAGTTATGTTGCTGTATTCACGGGTCAGAATAATAAAGATAATAATTAGAATGATAATAAGTAAATAAATATTTCCTAACAAATGCAGCTGAATTGTCTCCTTTAACTAGTTATGTTGCTGTATTCACGGGTCAGAATAATAAAGATAATAAATAGAATGATAATAAGTAAATAAATATTTCCTAACAAATGCGGCTGAATTGCCTCCTTTAACTAATTATGTTGCTGTATTCACGAGTCAAAATAATAAAGATAATAAATAGAATGATAATAAGTAAATAAATATTTCCTAACAAATACGGCTAGCTGGCATCGCCTCATTTTCCCTAGATCTTTGTCTGTGCGTTTGGGAGGAGAGTATAAACTCGTCTTAGTTACCACAGTTCAAGTCACATGGATTTAACATTCATATTAATTCACTTATCTAGCAATACAACCTTCAATTTCCGGGCAAAACAAGATTTTTAGCACCTGTTTTTTTAATATACCTGCATGCGTGAGGAGAACAGAAACCTGTGTGAAAAACGATTATGAATATCTGCCCCCCCCCTCCCCGCTTGAATTGTGAACACATCAAATAACCAACCATTACAGATAATTACTATAATTTACCCTTTTATATATAACACTAAATTTTGCTATATTGATATACTTTCAAAGTGAAAATACGTAAATAATCATTTCAGTGGATTTTGGCAATTCTGTGTGATACAGACAGCCTTACAGTTTTAACCCCTGTGCCTTTTAAATGTTGATTCAATATCGATCTCGACATATATGTATATGTGTGAGTGTATGTGTATTTATATGTATATATATGTATATATGTTTACAGATTTGTGTTTGTATATATATACATAAACATACATATATATGATATATATATATATATATATGTGTGTGTGTGTGTGCGTGTGTGTTTATGTGTATGTATGTGTGTGTGTGTGTGTGTGTTTATGTGTATGTATGTGTGTGTGTGTGTATGTGTGTGCGCATGTGTGTATGTCTATGTGTGTATGCATGTATATGTATATATACATAAATATATATACATGTATATTATATCTATAGTTATATATACACATCTGTATTCATGAATATTACTTTCTCATCATGATTTCCTACATTAAAGTAATTCGTTCGTTCTTTGTCAGCAAACGTAGTGTGGTTAACTACAGGAGGCATTGAGAGTTTCAATTCTCCAAACTATCCATCGAATTATGGAAGTGGAGACGACAAGGAGTGGGTGTTTTGTGTAAGGATCTTTTCTTCTCCGTGAATTGATTGTTATTAATACTAATGCTTTTCATTCATAATATCGTTATTATCATTATATCTTTTGTTCTTGTTATTACTATTATTACTATCATTATGAGTAGAACAGTGATAGTTTCTCTTGTTTTAATGTTATTTTAAATATCAATATTAATATTAATGTCGACCTTCTTTGTTATAGTTTGTTGTTTTTATCAATATCATTATTATAAGTGTTATTTAGTGTTTACATACTATTTTCTCCTTTTTCAGGCTATTAATTCTGCAGACAGAATAATGATCACCTGCAGCGACTTCCAGGTCGGAGGTTTCTTCTTTGGCTGCGTGGATGACACTTTGCTTATCACCAACACCGATGCATCCGTCAGGTGATCGAGTGGTATTTATATTAATCAGAAAATAGTTTACAGTTTTCCCTTCCTTTCCTAACCTCTGCCACGGTCTGTTGTAACTGAATTCCTATCATTTGCTTAGTAAATACTGCACAACGGACGGACCGCGGCTTGTGAAGACGACCGCACGTGGAACCAAAGTCACCTTCACGACCTCGACGTCAAACATTTAC